GTAAATTTACGCTGTTTTTTTCAGCATCAACAGACGTCGTGGCTTTCACTGCACATCTGTCAAAAGATATACCCGAACCAGGAGATGACTACTCAATTAAATTTGATCACGTGGTCACAAATATTGGAAACGGCTACAATCCCCTGACGGGGGTGTTCACGTGTCCGAAGGCTGGTGTCTACTTGTTCACCTGGACTGCAGGGATATCTAATGCCGGGTACCTCTTCACACAACTTGCTAAAAATGGCGTCACTGTGACTAATTCTTTCACAGGAGATAACTATTACAGTTCCCTATCCTCAGCAATGGCAGTTTTGTTGCTAAATCAGGGAGACGTTGTCAGTGTAAGAGTGATAGCTCATTCACCAGCACCATCGGTATGGCATCATTACACATCCTTTACCGGACTTATATTACACTAGGACATAATTATGTTACACTAGGACACATTGTATTACACTAAGACACATTTATATTACACTAGGACACATTTATATTACACTATGACATATTTATATTACACTAGGACACATTTATATTACACTAGGACACATTAATATTACACTAGGATAAACTTATATTACACTAGGACACAAAAATGGTACATTTATATTTACACTAGGACACATTTATATTTACACTAGGACACATTTATATTACACAAGGACACATCAATATTACACTAGGACATATTAATATTACACTAGGATAAACTTATATTACACTAGGACACATTTATATTTACACTAGGACACATTTATATTACACAAGGACACATTAATACTACACTAGGACATATTAATATTACACTAGGACATATTAATATTACACTATGACATATTTATATTACACTAGGACATATTAATATTACACAAGGACACATTAATATTACACTATGACATATTTATATTACACTAGGACACATTTATATTACACTAGGACACATTTATATTACACTAGGACACATTTATATTACACTAGGACATATTTATATTACACTTACACTAGGACACAGTAAACTACACTTGCTCTCCAAAGAGAAAGGGGGATACTCCCATGCTCTCTTTCCATCTTGGATCCTGCCGATATTTTAACGACACTCAAGGATATGTTACTTAAACACTAATACCTTATTTCTAAATATGAAATATCGCTGTCTTCATTTTGTGTCTTTCCTGTGCTGACATTGTAGGGCGTAATTGGCTTTAATTATGACGTTACAACCTGTGTACTCAACTCACAGTATCACACATCATATTATTTGACAAAATGCAATGCTACTAAAGTAAGATAATTAAATCTAATGTCATTTTTTTTCAACAGATTTCATTAGCTTTGTCTATGTAAATTGGATTGAACATCATGCTAGGCCTATATTAAGCATTGTATGGGAGATAACTCCAATTTAGCTTGTGAAATAAATGGTTTTTTTAACTATTCAATATTCAGTCATCGTCTGTTTATGTTTTGGATATTACCTAGGTATTAATTAAATTAATCGCGTATACTTGTTGGCAACCCATCCTAAATAAAATCCACGGGATAAAGGCCCAAAGGTCCCTGTGTATAAACACATTGGCCACCCACCCACTGGAAATATCGGATAAGTTACCAATTATTTATTGGAGTTAATTCTCTTAAATAGCAAATAACGATAGAATGATCACGTGACTTTAGAATGATAAGAACAGGATTTAGAATATATAATTATTAGTCCAGTCGGAATACCAGAGATATTATGAAGATAGATATAATATTTATAATATATATAATAATATATACACTAGTATTACTATTTAAGTATCACTTTCAATGTAAAGTTTGGTTGTGAGTGAGATAACATATCAGATCTATAAGTTTGACGAATAAAGTCAGATATATTTTGTAAAATGTATATGTTGATATCAGTGCTGTATATTTTGCAGCCATTGAATAGAGTTTTTAGATTATAATGATCATGGTTATCAGTTATACCAAATTGAAAAATGTTTAGTGCTAACATCCTGATGTTTTTATAGAGTGGGCATTCGAATATAAAATGATGCATTTTCGTTTTCATGTGCACATCTACATGCTGGTGTGTCATTCATATGCTCAACACACAAGTCACTATTTAGGTTGCTATAATGATTTCTTAGCTGGAAAATTATCGTATTGAGATTTCTTGGCCCATGGTATCTAAATGTGATGGTAATTTCTTTCATGTTATTTACAATATCATAATTGATTAAATATTAAATATTTACTATTTTTTTTGCAGAGAAGTATCATTTAAAATATTTGCAAAGAGAAGGTTAAATTCTCTACATACTGAGGGAAAAACTGTTGAAATAATTTCAGTTCTACAAAGTGGGGGATTGAAAATGCGGCTATTTCTTAGTGGACGTCTTACATTTATATTGTTGTAAAGATAGGATGTAATGCTGGACTGATTCTAGAACATTTTTAGCTCGTCTGGTCCGAAGGACCATGGTAAGCTTATGCCAGACCGCATCGTCGGTCTTCCGTCGTCCGTCCGTCAATCCTTTAAAACGCTACTAGCCCTAAACAGCTAAATAGATTTTGCCTAATTTTGGTCTGGATCAACCTAAGCCAAGGGGACTCAATTTTGTATAAATGGTGAGTGTTGCCCCCCTGAGGGGCAGAGGGGCGGGGCCGCATAGGGCAAATAGAGGTAAACCTTTAAAATCCTTCTTCTACCATAGGGATTAAGGGATTTTTTAAAGAATTAAGTCTGGAGCATCCTTGGGACAAGGGGACTCAATTTTGTATAAGCAGTGGGTGTGGTTCCCAAGGGGGCAGAAGGGCGGGGCCCAACAGGGGAAATACGGGTTAACCTTCAAAATCCTCCTTCTACCATAGTGATTTAGGGATTTTATCCTGATTTAGTCTTGAGCATCCTTTTGCCAAGGGGACTCAATTTTGTATAAACGGTGAGTGTGGCCCCCCTAGGGGCATAAGTGCGTGGTCCAAAGTGGAAATACCGGTAAACCTTTAAAATCCTTCTTCTACCATAGGGATTAAGGGATTTTATCCGAATTAAGTCTGGAGCATCCTTAGGCCAAGCGGACTAAATTGTGTATAAATCGTATGTGTGTCCCCTAGGGGCAGAGGGGCAGGGCCCAATATGGGAATTACAGGTCAAACCTTGAAAATTCTTCTTCTAACATAGGGATTAAGGGATTTTATCCTTATTTAGTCTGGAGCATCCTTGGACAAAAGGGACTCAATTTTGATTAAAAAGTGAGTGTGTAAATGGTGGATCTGACCCCCTGGGGCCTGAGGGGTGGGGCCCAATAGAAGTTATTCAGCAAATTCTTGAAAACTCTTATTCTGTAGGAATAACAGGATTTTTTTCATATTTGGTCTAAAGCATCCTTTTAGTGAGGGGAATTAATTTTGTATAAACGGTGGGTCTGCCCCTCCTTGGGGCTGTGAGACGGGGCCCAATAAGGGATATAGAGGAATTGCTTTAATATCNGGCCTTCTTCTTCTGTAGGAATGACAGGATTTTGTCCAAATTTGGTATGAAGCACCCTTGGGTGAAGGGAATTAATTTTGTATAAACGGTGGGTCTGCCCCTCCTTGGGGCTGTGAGACGGGGCCCAATAAGGGATATAGAGGAATTGCTTTAATATCCTTCTTCTTCCAAGGGATAAAGTTTTTTTGGAAGGGAAGTCAATTTTGTATAATAGGTGGGTTTAAATACCCCGGGGGCAGAGGGGGCAGGACCAAATATGGAAAATAGAAAAATAGCTTTAAAACATTTTTCTTCTGTAGGAATGACAGGATTATGTCCATATTTGGTATGAAGCATCCTTGGGGGAAGGCAACCTGATTTTGTATCAACGGTGGATCTGACCCCTGGGGCCATAGGGCCGAGCCCAATGAGGGAAACATGGCAAATTCTTCAAAATCGTAGTTTTCCTGTAGAAATGACAGGATTTTGCCTAATTGTTTATAAATATACCCCTGACTAACCATGTAATACATGTACACTACCAGCAACATCATCTAGCTATTCCAACTTCAATTTTGCTAACATTTCCAGGTGAGCTATACAGGCCCTCTAGGCCTCTTGTTATTTTGGTTACTACAGTTGCCCCATATTACATCCCAATGTACAAGTGTTGGTCTAATAAAAGAGGTATATATTGTTGTAAGACTTACCGATTCAATCTCTTCGCTATGCCACATATAGATGGCGCTACTCCGGATATAGGCAGGGACGGTAACTTAGCCCCCTATAACATGTAAACGCGTTTCCTTGAGGGATTTTAATCAAACTTCACACAATTACAGAGGACAATAATATCACGGACAAGTTCGAGTTTTAACATTAAAATCAGTTACAAGCTAATTGTATACTTTTCATTTTCCCAAATTAACACCAAAGGGCACCATTTGTATAAACCATTACAGTGTACCTGGTAATAGCTAGCGGGAGCCAGTAGGGGACATGTATCGCTTTAGCAATACTCAGTATGCTTGTTAGTTACAGTTTCATAACAAAAACAAGATATCCGGATAATTACGTACCCTTTTCCGTAAGAAAATTAGAGATTCAGTTCAGCGGATTAAATGTGATACACCAATTTCATTTTTTTTCATGCATTAATAGAACCTACATTATTGCTTAATTTCACTGTAACTTCATTTTGATTGTTGTCTATTACGTCATACTAAGAGTTTATAAGCAAAAAGATTTATTTTACTTCTCTCACATTCTGTTATAGATTTTTTTTTAAACGGACCGAGGACCGAGCCTTTGGGCCAGCTTTGACATGCTTTAAAAGTTTAACTGTTTTTTTCAGTATATTTAATGGATTATTTACAATATACCTAATCTTAAAGATTGGTGCAAAATTAACAAAGCCTTTTCCAGGTTCTTCCATTGGTTGCAAATTAAGGGCAAAGTTCTTTTGGGTTTTTTTCATGAGAAGATTTGGTTTGTAAGTTATATCCTTAGGTAATGACTCCAATTATGTTAACATATAGTAGTCGAAATTTGCTACTTGATGCCATTTCCGTTTTGCCACGTCTTTGCTATAGTCTCGTTCAACCAGACGCTTGATCACTTGCAATTATCTGTTCGACGAAGCTTGTGTACACAACATAAGTCTGGTTGAACGAGACTACCTTTTTTCTCAAAAAATTGATAGGAAGGTCTCTGTATTTTACGATTCAATCAAGAGAAACCATAAAGAAAGTAAACTTCCGAAGCACACTGCACGAGAGGGCAGAACATGGGCCATGTGATTGGTCTGAAACAGACCTACTAGGGGGTAATATTATATTTCTGGTGAACACATCATCAGTTTGCGATTTTGAGCAGGTGATATAGACTACATGAACATGCTGTAGAATATCCTGTGATATGTTGTTTACGTATTAAACATATGTCAAATCAGTATGATGTAAGGTTAGACGTTAATACAATGGTATTTATACGAATAGCGTTTATATTCGTTTCGCTGGTCTTCGGTACGTGTTGATATCTTATAATCAATTTTACTGGCCCTCAGTATGTGTATCGTGAATATATCATAATCAAATTTATTGGCCCTCAGTATGTATATAACAACAATTTTATGACGTGTTGCTATCTAATTTGAAAGTAAAAGTCCTGGAGATGTTGTATGTGTTCCAAACATAAATTTATTACAATCACTTTCTCTGGGCCGGTGGTTAATTTCTGGAAAATCCAAAAACATACCCGTACTGTCCGAAGCCTACATGTCCTAACTGATGTTACGAGTATAAACATGTCGTTAATATAAGTACGTTTACACAATAAAAGTAGAATAGTTAGTTTGAGTGACATCTGTCATTCACGGCAATTGTCCTTTGAGACCAAGGCCGTACCCGACCAGGTAAGCCGAATTAGCTGTCCATTGTCTGAGACTGAGACGAGTTAGTCATGTTACGTAATAGAATGTAGTTAAAAGGTATATGGTACACGATGGACACAGTTAATGTACGAGTTACTCTGACAACAATGATTCAAACGAATTATACATGTCAACTTCAAAGAACAAGCTTCGTAAATAGAACTTATCTAAATTGACACAAGTTTAGACAGCTAATTGTTATATACAATTTACACAACATAGTTACGGCATATTAAAACGTCACATGGTTGAAGTTTAAAATAGGACAAATAACCAATTTAATGAGATATTAGATGAGGTAAAAAAAAATCAAATTCAGCACTTTTATCATAAAATTCTTAATGATAACTATAACGCGAATATTCCATAATCAATTTTAATGGCCCTCAGAATGTTTTCCGTTAATATCCCACAATTCATGTCATGGCCCTCAGTATGGGTATCGCTTATAAACAATAATCTGTTTTACTGGCGCTTATAATTCAAATTTCGAATACCTAATTAAATATCCAGTTAACTGGTTCTCGACACCTAGTCACGTTCTTTGGGCCGACGTTGCAGCCGGTCACCAGGTCGCGGATGTTTTACACCTTTGGTCCAAATAACGAAACTTCGCTGTATAACGACGACAGAGGTTGTGCCAGATTAGCCAACGTTGCTCATCAGTTGAAATAGGACCAACACCTGACGGATTTCTAGGATAACGCTGTGTCAAATTTCCAAAGTTTGTTAACCTATGCTCGACCAGAGACGTATAATATACGTCTCTGGCTCGACATCTGCGTTTGTGTATCAAAAACGTTATTTTGGAAATGTCAATTTTCAACGCTGGTGCAGCGTTGGGTCAATAACGAGACGCTTTAATTACTCAGAAGCTATGTATTTCGTGTAAAACTCGGCTTTAGATTCTCTAGGGTAAGGTGCAACGCTTGGCCAACTTAAAGACGTACGAACAAAAATAATAGCACGTTTGACCAATGCCTGACTGCTACCTGGGCTGTTTGTATTTCACGTTTATCAAATTATCCACTTACCATTTACTCATGTCCCAACGGTTGTCGTATAGCTGGTTTCCTGACTCAGAAACAAAATTGGAATTTTCAATCCGGACATTGTTTGGGAAATCGGAGTCCAGAACATGATGTTCGGCTCATATTGTGACAAACAACCCCCCATTGCAGATTTCCATGTTCCCGAATGTCTAAAAAAAAAACCTGAAAACAGATACTTCCTGGTGATGTGATACATGTAATATGAGAGAGGACAAATGGATGGTATGTTGTGAGGTGACCTTTCATATCAATGTTGGTGATGATCGAGCGTAACCGATGATATGTACATGTTGATGTCGTATATTTATAGCCCCCGCTTTGCAGGACATATTGTAGGTTAACATTATTGAGGTTAGGTTTAAACATGTGAGTATCGTGCTGTTGAGACATAATGTATAGCTTGAAACTCGAAGAAAAAAAAGACTTATATATATACCTCATTAAATATCCGTAAATATGCACAAATCACATCGGTTGGCAAACTTAGCATGAGTCGGATGTACATACGGAATTTGATTGAAATATCTGCACAATATCTACAGCAATTATCACATGAAAACCAAAGAGTGCCCGAGATGGGTGGAAAGACAGAGATACACAAACATTGTTATCAAGTTTGAAGGAATTTGGCTAATATTTGCTAGAGTTATTAAGCGGAAACTGCAGATAATGACGTTGTTCGTTGATCAAGGGGCCATAACTCCGCCAAATGGAGTCCGATTCAAGTTGTTGTAAAACTTAGCCGAGCCCTTAATACGTTGAACCCTAATAGTAAGTTTAAAGACAATCGGATTATATTTGCGAGAGTTAATGAACAGAAACGGCAGATAATGACGTTTTTCTTTATTCAAGGGGTCATCACTCCGCCAAATAAAGTCCGCTGAAAGTGGTCATCGAACCAGGTCGGGTACCAATTCAAGTTTGAAGAAAATCGGTTAACATTTGTTGCAGTTATTGCACGGAAACGAAACGTGACAGACAGACAGACAGCCGGACAAAGCCAAATTAATATACCCCGCTTTCACCGGATAATACTGATAAGGATGGGATGTTGACAAGGGGTGATGATGGTTTTATTATGAGGGTGCGTTAATTATATACATTTATGTATGTATGAACAAACTCAGCTGTAAATGTGAGAAACGCAATCTTAATACAGAAAGTGATGGTAGAGTACGTCAGTATAATGGCGATATTATGGGATGGTAGAGTACGTCAGTATAATGGCGATATTATGGGATGCCAACATAATATAAAGGATGCTTATTAAATTTTAATGATATTAAAATATTGACTGTGAATATTAAATATGAAAAAACGAAAATAAGACTTGTCTCAATCTATGGATTAAACTATAAAACAGAAAGGTGGGATTACATGGCTATTTAAACTAGCCTTCAATTTCCTCTAACCTCCTAGGGGAGTAAATAACAAAAGCATATTTTATTTCATCTGCCCTCGCAGTTTGAAACGCCATGATCAGTTCTCGATATCGATAAAACCTCCCGGCCCAGTGTGTAACAGGGATGTTTACCCTTGGTTCATTCCGAACGCTTGACTGTTCATTAGATCTGGTACACCACTCGGAACATCTCGCCTGATTTCATAGACAAGCTTGATGGCTCGTAATGCAAAAAAAATAAATACACGGTATGGGACATGTTAAGTGATGTTATCGAGTATAAAGTGGAGTTTAACAGGATCTGATACCAAAGGAAAAGCGCTGGGTGAGTAGAATCGTTTTTAAAGATATCTCATTTAATTATTATACTTTATACGTTAGTTTTATTTGGATGTCAGTTTGAAACCAAAGTCGGTTAAGACGTGTCATTTTAATATTTCATTTGTTAATATTTATAACCCATTTTGATATTTTGGTTTTCTTAATAATTAAGACGTTTATTAAAAACAATTTCACTCGATATGGATATATTCAAAAATCGATAGAAACAACAAGGTGTTTGTGCCCAGCTGAAACACAAGGTTTATCCATCACCTTGTTACATCTATTGAGTTGGTCGTTGGAACCATCATGTAGTTGGTAGCACGTGGCTTAAACGAAGTTCCATTAACTGCAACACGTTTTACATTAAACAGACCTTAATCAACTGAAAGCAGGTTGTTTGTTTGGAGTGTTTTTGATAGACATATTGCTGGTAAAGTAGTACTCCTGCCTGGTTGAGAACTTTGTTCAGTCATGTACACTTGCCTGACACAGGGCAAACTATCATTGTCTCGTCTCAAATATAATATGCAAACACAATACACATTATACATGATAAATGTGTCGTTTGGGCGAGTTATGACAGGGTTATAAAATACATCTTGTAGAAATCCACTTAGTGAAACACAAGGTGAAATGACTTGATTACAACGACCGAATGATACAGTGACAAATCGGTCTAGATCTGCCTCTACATGATAGCTATATATCGACCAGACGTTTATCGTGACTGACTATCACCAGTGATGATAAGAGGATCTGACACAAACAAAACCTTGTTTATATAGGCCAATTACCTTCAGATGACTTATGACCAGACCGCAAATGTTTAAAAAGCCATAGGGATGACGTCACGAACAGGTAAAATTAGGACCTTCGGTTTTATTAATTATCAAAACAGAATATAACGTATTATCATTTTTTTCTGTACATTTACATACACAAAAACTGCTGACATTGTCGAGATTTAAAAATCGAATTAAGAAGGCTTCTCCTGATCAACTGTATGTAAAGTTGGGTAATGTGTTGTGTGTGAAATAGTCCGAGGTAACATTTCTACGGCGGTTTATTTGGGTGGAGATGTGCCAAACCGAGGCAACTGAAAGATAAACTATCTTGAAGTTATAGTTTGGAATACTTTAAAGACATCTAAATCCGTAGCATTTACTCCATGTTTTGCTTTCAAAATTTGATTCAAATTCATACTGAATTTTCTTTTACATTTAATGTCAAGATCTTTGGAAATTTTGTTGATATGAAAGTTTGAGTAAACGTTGATATGAATTATTTATACAAGTGCCCTTTTTCAGGGATTACACTTTCCAAAATATTTTTGTTTTGAATCATGAACGAACATGAATGTTTAACGCGGACAGGAAAAATACCACTGGAAATAAAACATTTACAGATAGGGTAGAACAAACACTTTTAATAAGTATATACAGTATATAAAGGAAACATCACGAGGGAGAAATTATGCTCTTAGATAAGCGTTAAGAAAACTATCACCGGAGATTAAAAAATGAAAATAAGAGTACATTGTTTTAAATCATCACCAGAGGATACAAAAAAAAAATCACAAGAAACAGAACTTTCAAAATTGGCTTAGAGAATAAAACTGTCACAGGAAAAAAGTAATACAATACCAGAACAACGCATCTAATGAAAAAATACAACCATCCGTTAAAGAAGCTAGCTCTTCAGCCGTTAGTCATAAAAGACACGTCAAATAAATCTTCGCTAATGCTATCATTTCCTATATCATTGTATTGATCGGACAAGAACGTCTATTGTTAGTTGGTAGAAATATCTGTCCCATGCAAATTAGAATGTATCTCCTCTATTGAAGGATAATTTTTTCAGTGACAGTGAATTATGAGGTAAATAAAGGGGAAGACATCACATCATAAATGCTGCACTTCCATTTTTCCTGTGGTTGTAATTTTCACGATTTTCGCGGTAACGAGTATTCCACGAAAATATACAACCCGCCAAATAAGCAGGTGTTCACTGGAAAGGTAAGTGTTTCAAAATCATATGTTATGATACTTCAATCAAATTAAGGATTTTGTCAGCCTAGGTTGAAATTTATCTAAAGGAAAACCTTGGGTAGGTGATATATTTGTCATTAGAATTCATATTTATAGAAGTTTTTGAAAGTTAGCACAGACTCTGGCGTTGTTGGAAATTGACTATCATGTTTGTAAGGGAAGGTTTGTAGATTACAACTGAGGAAGATGAAATTCACAAACTACGTCGACAATTGTGGTCTTAACTTCATTTTCCATATGTAAGGATGAGACATCTTACGGTATCTGCTTGTCAGTACATGTGGTTTAAAATATATTTTTTTCCCATTCTGACCTCATCCTCATAATATACTACACGCAAGAAACTAATGTAATCAAAGTCATTATGGCAATAAAGCGATTACGGAAATTTGTTAACAGAACGTGGGAATGTTTTTGCCACGGAGCGCAACATGGTGTTCTCCAATACGACAGGAAGTAAAGAAGTGTGTTCTCCATAACAACAGGGGGTGAGGTATGCACATTGATAATGGACATCATTTCTATGGTGTTATCCTCTGTGAAAAAATAAAACAAAAAAGTATCAGCAAAGAAAACTGGTGTCGAGTATTGATTTGGCCATTCGATACATGTCCAAGTGGGTTAACAATGTCACGATCTCTGCCAGGTTTGACTTTATTTCATTTTCCTTCAGTTTTAAACAACGTTATGTACGAACAGGAATAAGACGCTCGCTTCGTCATGCTGTCTGTCAGCACGCAATCACTCGGAGATAAAACTAAGTTGAATGATCTACGTGCTGTCGGATTAGATTCCATCGGTTCAACATTATCAAGGACTAATCTTGACCCCCAGAGTCACGACAGATTGAGTTGGTGGGTAGTCTTGGTGAAAAGCTGGAACATTAACACTCTTTGAAAAAGTCGTTTTGATTGTATAGGCTGTTGTTGAAGTTAATTATGTCTCTATCTTTTCTGAGCACAGATATATCTTAGTGTATAGGCAATGTGGCATATTCTTCTACCATACAGAGGAGTTTGTTTTAGAGAAATAGAAATAACACTTTTTTGCACGTGATTACAGTGAACGTCTGGTTCACTGACCTGAAGGTGTGTGGTACTAGATTGTCAGGTTTGGTCATATCGTCACTGCAGGACCACAGTCTTGATATCGGAAAGTATTTCATCCTTGGACATATCACAATTTGAGAACAATATCCTTCAGATTGCAAACACTTATATTTTTTTTCTTTCTAAAACATGTCACTAATTGCATGTAGCAATAATCTTTGCCAAAACAGGTCTTCTTGTAATGTGCTTTGACCAAGCCTGATAGATCCAGAGTGCTCATCTGACAGGCCATTGTGCCAAATCAGGGATGTGTACATCCCTAGCCAAACAAGCATATATGTTTTTGCAATTTTCAGATCAAAAGTCGTGTTAAGTCAAATAGTTACACATTGAAATTTTACTCTCCTGACCAGGACTTGTTGTTCGGAGTCCTAAACTTCAAAACAAGATTTAAAGCGTTTAATTGTCATATTGTTTACCCGCTATCACGTGTGTATGAAAACAGAAATCTAGACACGAGCGAGCCATCACATAGGTTTGACTTGTTTGTTTTTGGCAGACACGCTTGATATATCTCTTTTCCTTTTTAAAGTCTTTTGAAATATTTTGCTCGTTCGACATTGTTTTATTTTTAACTTAAAAGACAGAAATTTCCCCAAAAATGTTTTATGGCTGAAAAGTCTTTTGAATGTCAAGCAAATCAAACATCTTAACCTGACGTTATCCTAATTAGCTTTGTCCTTTAAATAGATAGACCCGACTGTTCAAGTATGGGCAGCTTAACGAGTCGATAATACAACTTATTAATTTAGATATGTTTTGAAAAGGTGTTTGTAGAAATATCTCAAAATTTACTCTTTTCTGAATTATTAGTTTGGATTCCTGTACAAGACGATTTAATTCTGATTTTGAACATTTTTAAAAATAAATAGGATGAAATATTTTAGTTACATGCCGTGAAGCTGATGATGCTGTGAAATTCTGTACAGAGCGGTGTAGCTTTGTATGACTGATGCCTTCTGTCATCGCTACTGTTGTCGGCATCGAGTCCACAGAACAGTGAAAGTCTGCCGGGATAAATTAGTTTTAAATCTATATAACAGCGTTTCCCAGTTTACAAGGCAGACAAGCGGAGAACGAGAACCAGTGATAATCAGTTTACGGAGTAACCTCAATCACTGGTGTTTCATTGACAGAGACTTAGGTTAGGGCAAAATATGATAACTAAAGTTGTTTGTTCATATTGCCATAACAATATCAACAGCTGAGTGATGATCCCGAGCAAGTGATAAACAAACTGAAAGCATAGTCACCCTTGTATGTCCCCCACAGAATGATGGTCTGAGGCGACCAAAGCATAGTCACCCCTGTATGCCCCCACAGAATGATGGTCTGAGGCGACCAAACGCGAGGCGTTCGGCGGAGTATAGACTTGACTCCAGACTATTTGTTTATTTTCTATGGACTTGAGCAGGTCTAACATTTGACCTTTATGGTCAAGAACCTGTACACTTGCTTAAAAGTCATTATACATATATATATATATGATATTAAGCGATCATCATTGAAACTGTATCTAGCAGTAAAGGCAAAGCAAGGCCCGCGCTAGGGGTACCATGTACATGAAAAACGAAGAAGCACGAATGCTTTGTTATACTCCATTTTTTTGGATAATCTTCAACTTCCTCATTTCCTATCATGAACCTGTTCGCGTGTAGACCTAAAGTAATGTATTGTGCTGTTTATGATCACGTGTTGAGTTGTATAATATCGTATTGTATTGTTACGGATGGTAATATATTGTTAAGTATTGCATTGAATTATATTGTATTGTAATGTATTGTGCTGTTTTTGACGTATTGAGTTGCATGGTATCGTATTGTATTGTTACGTAATGTATATTGTATTGTTACGCATTGTATATTGTATTGTTACGTATTGTATATTGTATTGTTACGTATTGTATATCGTTTTTGCGTCTCTCTGGTTCCTGGTGTCGTCTTTCGTTCGTTTTTGCGTCTCTCTGGTTCCTGTTGTCGTCTTTCGTTCGTTTTTGCCTATTTCTCTGGTTCCTGTTGTTGTCTTTCGTTCGTTTTTGCGCCTCTTTGGTTCCTGTTGTCGTCTTTCGTTCGTTTTTGCGTCTCTCTGGTTCCTGTTGTCGTCTTTCGTTCGTTTTTGCGTCTCTCTGGTTCCTGTTGTCGTCTTTCGTTCGTTTTTGCGTCTCTCTGGTTCCTGTTGTCGTCTTTCGTTCGTTTTTGCGTCTCTCTGGTTCCTGTTGTCGTCTTTCGTTCGTTTTTGCGTCTCTCTGGTTCCTGTTGTCGTCTTTCGTTCGTTTTTGCGTCTCTCTGGTTCCTGTTGTCGTCTTTCGTTCGTTTTTGCGTCTCTCTGGTTCCTGTTGTCGTCTTTCGTTCGTTTTTGCGTCTCTCTGGTTCCTGTTGTCGTCTTTCGTTCGTTTTTGCGTCTCTCTGGTTCCTGTTGTCGTCTTTCGTTCGTTTTTGCGTCTCTCTGGTTCCTGTTGTCGTCTTTCGTTCGTTTTTGCGTCTCTCTGGTTCCTGTTGTCGTCTTTCGTTCGTTTTTGCGTCTCTCTGGTTCCTGTTGTCGTCTTTCGTTCGTTTTTGCGTCTCTCTGGTTCCTGTTGTCGTCTTTCGTTCGTTTTTGCGTCTCTCTGGTTCCTGTTGTCGTCTTTCGTTCGTTTTTGCGTCTCTCTGGTTCCTGTTGTCGTCTTTCGTTCGTTTTTGCGTCTCTCTGGTTCCTGTTGTTGTCTTTCGTTCGTTTTTGCGTCTCTCTGATTCCTGTTGTCGTCTTTCGTTCGTTTTTGCCTCTCTCTGGTTCCTGGTGTCGTCTTTCGTTCGTTTTTGCGTCTCTCTGGTTCCTGTTGTTGTCTTTCGTTCGTTTTTGCGTCTCTCTGGTTCCTGTTGTCGTCTTTCGTTCGTTTTTGCGTCTATCTGGTTCCTGTTGTCGTCTTTTTTTCGATTTTGCCTCTCTCTGGTTCCTGTTGTCGTCTTCTGTGTCAGTGTCTCCCTTTTTCTAAAGTTGTCTTTTGTTTTGTGTTTGGTACCGATTTGTTTTTTAAGTCTTCAAAACGTAGATAACATAATGTTTTTTGTTTATGTTTTACGTCCTATTAACAGCTGTGGTCATTTGAGGACGTGCCAGGTTTTGGTGGTGGAGGAAAGCCGGAGTTTCCGGAGAAAAACCACCGACCTACGGCCAGTACCTAGCGACTGCTCCACGTAGGCCTCGAACCCGCGACCTCGTGGTTATTGGTAGCAGACTGCAATGTCAAACAATCCTTCGTTTAAATCTATTTGATAAATTGAAATACCATATGGATTGTGTTTAATACGGATTTTGATCTAAATTTAAATGAGACATGTTTTATTTTTAGGTCACCTGAGTTATGCTGACATAATGTGTTGATGGCTACCTAACCAACTTTACAACAACATGTTCCCTGCAACCGGTTTTTTTCTGTCAAATCCTGGCAGATATATTAGTCAACAACGCTTGAAGAATTTCTCTTTATTTACGGTGAACAAGGTGACAGACGTCTGCAGTGTAGATTGAACCATCTCCGTTAGAAAACCTTGTTAACACTTATTGGAAAGCCTTCGTTGATCCGGACACTTTTGTTTACATCTGAACCTGGTAAGTTTGATTGATGATGAGTGGGAACTCATTCGTCCGGAAACTTGAGTGTATTGTGTAGAGAGGGCCCTCCCCAGTCTGGACACTTACGCAAATATTTCCCAGTCAGAACATCAACTTCGGGAAAATAGTTCCCAGTCAGAACATCAACTTCGGGAAAATAGTTCCCTGTCAGAATATCAACTTCGGGAAAATAGTTTCCGTATTGGTTTTCTGTTTAATCCAGGGGAAATAAACAAAAACGGAAAACACGTGTTTCTAATCTTAACACATAATTTCTTTTTCAGATGACAATACTTTGAAACAGATTCTTCTTTAAACGACGTAGAACCGGAAATGAAGACGTAATAGATATTTTAACCTTGTTAGTCCATTTATCATAAATCGATTGGTCGGCACATGCTAACGTGAACATAATTTAACTAAAACTTCTTTGAAATGCAGGTTTGATGTTCCCAGGAGCGCCGCATGTGGCCGAGTGTGTTACGTCAGCAGATGAAAATACAGTGCATTGAGCATCATCCCTTTCTTCAGAGGTCGGTCAGAGGTCAAAGGTCACTGGTGGGCAGGAATTAATACAGATCAATCTCTAAAGGTTATAGCAGCGGGGTCGCAGAGGTGTTTTTTGCACGACAGGCCACACCCGATACGGCTTATATCACCAGTCGTTTACAGAAACCCCAATTCATCGCGGACCAAATTCGTATCGATATCACAGTAAGTTTGTAAATTTTTATGTAAAGATACAATTCTTATGAGAAAGGGGTACGGTATCATGAAAATGATTATATACAGGTTTTATAAGCTAATTTAATAGCTGTCTACAAGTAAGCTACTTAAGAAAGTTTAAGCTATTAGGAAACTATCTAATATATATTTATATATGTGAGTTCTCTTTGATATTTTTGAAGCTATTCCGATACCCCAGCAGCGCCTTTTCAGTAGACGATCTTTAATAACGCTTAAAGATTTTATGTGTTTATGTTTTGTGAATTTCTCGGGGTAATATACAGGTATTTTATATAAAACTGCACAGTTAGTGCTAACCGGCTTGGTTTCGGCTGTATATATGTAAATTGATAACGCCGTCAGTATTGCCTAAGTATGTTTCCTATGTGTACGAGTTGTGTTTTTCACCGTGATGATACATACGAGATAAATTAAAGGTCAATGTATCGTACTGGACTGATCCGTGTAAAATAATATAAGTTAATTCCAATGAAATAGATCAGGATAAATAAATTGGTGACATTTACCGGAACGAGACATCTTACCTACACCTAATCCCTCGATACAGCTAGCTAGCTATAGGATGTAACACATGTCGGTCACATATATATAAAATGGGTTTTTTATACCATGCTCTGCATTTTCTAGAAAAAGATACGAAGCTTACATGGAGGTGACCGGACAATATATAGTTGATGAGTTTCATGCGTTTTATCATGCACTTATATATATTTTTGTATACTTTTCCAGTGGATTCGGTACCAGAGAGACAGCCGTCTTTGTTCTGAACAGGAGCTAAATGAAACATGTATAGTGTGTTATAACTTCAGTGATGTGGTCCTAATGTCCGTACATCAAGTGATGTTGACCCAATCCTCAAAACCATGGTTTCCCCCGCCTCAACTTGGCGTTTCCAGGGAAACGTCCGCCGGCAGGTTGTCGTTTATAGTAACGACAAATACTACGGACTTTACCGAACAGAATACGGAATTCACCGAACACCATTCCTACCTGTTTTATGTGAAGGTGATTCTTATTTTCGTGATAATGGTGTGTACTACATTAGGGAATTTACTCAATATCGCAGTGACATTAAAGACTAGGTCACTTAGGACTCCATCCGGGAACTTCATCATTTCCTTGGCAACGGCTGACCTGATGGTGGGAATTCTTGTGACGTTTTCATTTGTTTCATCTATACAGGACAAATGGGCATTTTCTGACTCAGGTAAGTTATCGCTTAATTCCGTTAAATCTATTGCAGACGTCTGGAAATGTCCTCATCAAAGATGTTATATAGGTCCAAGACTTGCACTGATAAAAAAAATCTTGTTTTCGCTTCTCCGCTTGTTACGTCCGCTTCCTGTTTCTTATTTCTGTTTTTAATTCGTTCATCGACGATGCAAGTATTAATCTTAATTGTGTTGTATCGCTTTTTACTTAATTTCCTTTTTCATACGGGTATTCCTGTTGTTGTTTTTTTTATCTCAGTTTTAATATTTATTACACGGAAGTAAATTGTGAGATGCGTCGACTTCCTTTTTCGGTCAGAATAAATCTAATCGCTGGAAGTATCAGGGGGATTAAACGTGTCACTTACTGTACGAGATTCTTCATTATTTCATTCGTTATGACTCTCAAACATATCTTTAATCGAATCTGCATAGCAAACTGCGGACCTCGCTTTCGTAATGAACAGGTGATACAACCACGAATTAACGTAAAAAATAACGATCTCCCAATTACATGTGTCTGTCTATATCTGTATACAATACGAAGTAAAGCTATTTCTGTTATAATCTGCTTTGAATTACGTGAAGCCTTTTGATATCAACTGGTTTTTTGTTACCTTTTAACTATTTTGGTATCGTCTGTTTCTGTGTTGCCTACAATCTATTTTGGTAACGTCCGTTTCTGTGTTGCCCATTAACTATTTTGGTAACGTCCGTTTCTGTGTTGCCCATAAACTATTTTGGTAACGTCTGTTTCAGTGTTGCCCATTAACTATTTTATTAACGTCTGTTTTTGTGTTGCTTATAAACTATTTTGGTGTCGTCTGTTTCTGTGTTTCCTATAATCTATTTTGGTATCGTTTGTTTCTGTGTTGCCAATTAACTATTTTGGTATCGTCTGTTTCTGTGTTGCCTATAAACTATTTTATTAACGTCTGTTTCTGTGTTGCCTATAATCTATTTTGGTAACGTCTGTTTCTGTGTTGCCTTTTAACTGTTTTGGTAGTAACTGTTTGTGTGTTACCTTTTAACTAGTTTGCTATCGGCTGTTTGTGTGCACGTGTTGCCGATTAACTATTTTATTAACGTCTGTTTTTGTGTTGCTTATAAACTATTTTGGTATCGTCTGTTTCTGTGTTGGCTTTTAACTGTTTTGGTATCGTCTGTTTCTGTTTTGACTATGAACTATTTTGGTAACGTCTGTTTCAGTGTTGCCCATTAACTATTTTTGTATCGTCTGTTTCTGAGTTGCCTTTTAACTGTTTTGGTAACGTCTGTTTCTGTATTGCCTTTTAACTGTTTTGGTAGTAACTGTTTGTGTGTTACCTTTTAACTAGTTTGCTATCGGCTGTTTGTGTGCACGTGTTGCCCATTAACTATTTTTGTATCGTCTGTTTCTGAGTTGCCTTTTAACTGTTTTGGTAACGTCTGTTTCTGTGTTGGCTATAAACTATTTTGGTATCGTTTGTTTCTGTGTTGCCTTATAAACTATTTTGGTATATTATGTTTCTGTGTTGACTATAAACTATTTTGGTATCGTCTGTTTCTGTGTTGCCCATTAACTATTTTGGTAACGTCTGTTTCAGTGTTGCCCATTAACTATTTTGGTAACGTCTGTTTCTGTGTTGCCCATTAACTATTTTGGTATCGTCTGTTTCAGTGTTGCCTATAAACTATTTTGGTATCGTCAGTTTCTGTGTTGCCTATAAACTATTTTGGTGTCGTCTGTTTCTGTGTTGCCTATAAACTATTTTGCTATCGTCTGTTTCTGTGTTGCCTATAAAATATTTTGGTGTCGTCTGTTTCTGTGTTGCCTATACACAATTTTGGTATCGTCAGTTTCTGTGTTGCCTATAAACTATTTTGGTATCGTCTGTTTCTGAGTTGCCTTTTAACTGTTTTGGTAGTAACTGTTTGTGTAGTACCTTTTAACTAGTTTGCTATCGGCTGTTTGTGTGCACGTGTTGCCGATTAACTATTTTATTAACGTCTGTTTCTGTGTTGCCTTTTAACTATTTTGCTGTCGTCTGTTTCTGTGTTGCCTATAAACTATTTTGGTATCGTCAGTTTCTGTGTTGGCTTTTAACTATTTTGGTATCGTCAGTTTCTGTGTTGCCTTTTAACTATTTTGGTGTCGTCTGTTTCTGTGTTGCCTATACACAATTTTGCTATCGTCTGTTTCTGTGTTGCCTATAAACTATTTTGGTTTTCGTCTGTTTCTGTGTTGCCTATAAACTATTGTGTATCATCTAATTCTGGTGCCACGTAAAGCCATATTTCTATGAACTCTTTTGTACTAAAACATAACTTAACTTATTTTTCAAGCAACTACAATCAATTTCTGTATGAGTAAAGACATATGAATTACGAAGATATTTTGTGTGTGTATATTTTGCTCCGTATTACGTGAAGCTATTTTTAGTGCTTGGTAAAATTATTCTTGTGTTACATATAGAAATAATAAGTAACTCTGTTTCGGTACCAACTTAAACTGTTTCTGAATTACCTAAATACATTGCTGTATTAGCCTTCAATTTGACGTATAAAGCTCTATATTATTTCCATTCCAGTCTGTAAAGCTGTCGGATTTATATTTTTCTACGCAACGTCTCTATCGATGTGGAACCTACTGGTCCTTACCATTGACCGATGGGTTTCGGTCACACGGCCAATGAAGTATGTATCCTGGATGACCAACCGGACTTCCTACAAAATTATCGGCCTTGTTTGGCTCGGCGTCCTACTTATAGACTTCCCTATGTTATTACCCGGCGTCGGCGATGTTTATTACATAGAGGGCGCCTTTTTATGCAGTCCTAATTGGCGGGTAAACTTGATTTACACTTTCTTGCTTGTCGCGGTGCATCTTTTACCATCTTTTATTCTAGTGCTAGCATTTAACCTTAGACTCTACTGTATTTCTAGGAAACATGTCAAGGAAATGGAACTTCTCCAGATACAAAGTCAAACTGCTGTTAAGCCATCTTCCATAAAACCAAAATTGGTGATAACAACGATAGTGATGGCGTTTGAGATTTCCTGGATGCCGTTTTTAGTTGCCGAGATTATCCGACTTTTCTCGCCGTCTTCTATTAGTGTACCAGTGTCATTTATCGTAAGCTGGGTTGCGGTTAGCAACAGTCTCATGAATTCTGTTATCTACACATGTTTGAACCGGAAGTTCCGGCATGGCATCGTCACACTGTTCCGGTGCAAGGACATCGGCACAGCAGAGCTGACGGGATATGTTGATAGTAATTTCGTGTAGACAGAATGTAAATAGTCAGCATGTCACATGACGGTATCTCGTGACACCGAGATCAATAAACTATCAATGTTAGTGAAGCGCTGTGAATGACTAATGTGTAAACGTCGTAACAATGCTATCATCTCCTATATGTGTTTGTTTCTCATGGAACCAAAGTCCAATAAATCACAAAAATCTATATAAACTGTTCGGGTTGTGTTTCTAAAAACTTCATTACAAATAAGTATAGTCGTGCACAAATTCTTTTTTTTTCATGATTCGGGTTCGGGAACACGAAGTGTCACAAAGAGGGAGTTTACTAAATTGTGCCCTAGTTTGATTTTTCAAAGAACTTTGAAGGAAATAAATTTGCTACCAATGACACTGTCACTATATATAACCCAACCAGTTTAGGTGACATTCATATAAGCTATGAACACCATGGCCCACTTGTTGACGTTAAGTTATTATGACGTCATCATTGTATTTTGATTACTACTTACCTTCCCTCGAATATGGTTGTTCTATTCATGAAACAATCAATTATGCATTATGTATACAATTATTTAAAACAAGAATTACGCGTAATTATATGTGTCGCCTGTCCCGCTTTGTCAATATAATAAGCATTTGACATAGTACATAAGGAAACGGACCTAAACGCAAAATCATAACATTGATTTTTTTAAAGTCCAGAAATTTCAGGTTTTTATCTGAAAAAGTGCAGAAATCCATGAAATGTTTTACAGTAGTAGGCTCTACTACCCATGCTACATGTATGATTGAGGTTTGGTTGGTGTAGCTCTTATACTTTGTCATAAAGAGCCTAAAATGCGAGAGCTAAACGCAAAACCTTAACGTTGAGTTTTTTTCTAAATCCAGAAATTTGAGGTTTTTAGCCAAAAAATACAGAAATCGTTGAAATGCTAGTAAAGAGTGTAATGCATTCAGCTATACATCCCATGATACACCTATGACCCAAGTTTGGTTGCTCTAGCACTTATACTTTGTCAGAAACAGCCTAAAATGTAAGAGCTAAACGCAAAACCTTAACGTTGAGTTTTTTTCAAAGTCCAGAAATTTTGAGGTTTTTACCAAAACAATGCAGAAATCAATGAAATGTTTTTTAGTGCAGTAGGCTCCACTACCTATGCTACATCTATGATCAAGGTTTTGTTCGTGTAGCTTTGTCAGAAACAGAGCTAAACGCAAAACCTTAACATTGTTGACGCCGCCGCCGCCGCCGCCGTCGGAAAAGCAACGCCTATGTGTCTTTCCGACTTCCGTCGTAGGCGACCCAAAAATGATGGACTGTCATAAAAACATTGAACTTTCCATGCGATATAAAACAGTAAATAAAATACATGAACAGTTTTCAGTTGAAATTCCTATTTATGTTACCAGCTTTTCTATCACACGAAGAACAAGGTACGTATATACGGTACTTTCACGTGTATCCTTGGCTGTTACCCTATTAGTATAGGTTAATGCATTGCAGATTTACCACTTTAATTTCGGAGTGTGTTTCATAATAAACATCTTAATGTGGGAGGAAACTGGCCGTACCCGTAATAGAACCCCACGTGGTCGGTCAGGTGACCATATACCTTTTCACGTCCGATCGGGGAAACGAACCCCGGCCGCCTTGGTGAAAGGCAAGTGCGCTATTCACAGCGCCACCCGACCGTATATAGTAAGTTCTTTATGTTATAGAGAAATTGGTGAATCAACATGTATTAGTTTATTTTCGGCAATCTTACATTCTCTGTAACACTCGTGTTCCTTAACATGTCGGCAGGCATTTATTTTCTCACAATTCCTACACGTGTACTCAATAGAGAAGTTATTCATTGTCTGACGTGTCGATTTTTGTTGTCTATGGTTGCAAAATATTATTTGCTACTCTTGATGCAAAGAATGAGCAGGGTTAAATTTCTCTCTCTCTCTCTCTCTCTAAAGCGGTAAAATATCTGACAGTTAGAGAGCTTGAGTAAACTGAATAAAGAGGAGGATTCTGTAAGACGGAGGTTTTAGAATCGATGGCGATCATGCTCAGATGATCCATTATTTATATAATCATGCAATTTACTTATGGAAACAAGGGTACTTCACCGAAATACAATTTTCGCATTTGTCCATATGATGACTTAATGTTCGACCCTCAGCTTAGTCTGTAGCTGATGGAGCAGTGGAGCCGAGACCAATCAACAAATGATAAGATATCTTGGTCCGATGATAGACAAAATATTGCAACACAAAGAAAGCATTTAAATGGACACGTCGGTAAAATAAAGCGAAGTCGACCAAAGATAACTTTTGAACGGACATTATCAGACAAACTTGAGGAATCGAACCCACACCGCACTTGACAGTACGAAAGGAGCACGATTGTCGCGGTCTCATGTCCGATGATGTACGCAAGGTAATAATAATAATAATAATAATACCAATGCAAAATCAAAGTGAATTGGGAGGCGAGCTAAGTGAACTTTTTATTGTACATATCCCGTCAACATACGGGGCTGTAGCCCGAGTTTCCTCTGGTCCTGACACCAGACTTCGACATTTTGACATAGATATCTGGTGTTGGACATCTATCTGTCAAAATATCTAATTCTGGTGTCAGGGCCAGAGGAAACACGGACTATTAAGTCTGATGTCAGGCCAGAGGAAACTCGGGCTACTAAGTCTGGTGTCAGGGCCAGAGGAAACACGGGCTACTAAGTCTGGGGTCGGGGCCAGAGGAAACACGGGCTACTAAGTCTGGGGTCGGGGCCAGAGGAAACACGGGCTACTAAGTCTGGTGTAAGGGCCAGAGGAAACTCGGGCTACTAAGTCCGGTGTCAGGGCCAGAGGAAACTCGGGCTGCTAAGTCTGGTGTCGGGGCCAGAGGAAACACGGGCTACTAAGTCTGGGGTCGGGGCCAGAGGAAACACGGGCTACTAAGTCTGGTGTCAGGGCCAGAGGAAACACGGGCTACTAAGTCTGGTGTAAGGGCCAGAGGAAACTCGGGCTACTAAGTCTGGTGTCGGGGCCAGAGGAAACACGGGCTACTAAGTCTGGTGTCAGGGCCAGAGGACACTCGGGCTACTAAGTCTGGTGTCAGGGCCGGAGGAAACTCGGGCTACTAAGTCTGATGTCAGGGCCAGAGGAAACTCGGGCTACTAAGTCTGATGTCAGGGCCAGAGAAAACTCGGGCTACTAAGTTTGGTGGCAGGGCCAGATGAAACTCGGGCTACTAAGTCTGGTGGCAGGGCCAGAGGAAACTCGGGCTTACAGGGCTGAAAAATATCAATAAAACAAGAAACGTGACACGATCAGAGATCTGTTCAAACTTATCAACGAACTTTCTCAAATACAAACTTATTAGAAAGATTGTCTTTGATCTTGTCAACATAGGGGCTCGCCTCCTGGAAGAAAAATAAAAGATGATTTCGTTCAACACTTTATATCAGCCATAAATAAAACTGACACAGATTCTAGTTGTCGTAAAAGTCTATTGTATATATAAAAGTACCAGACTTTAAAACATACTTTTCGTAATATTCGACCCGAGGGTTAAATCCTCGTTATACTGTCACTATTACAGCCACCCAAAATAATGGCGTTATAACGGTGGTTTGGCGATACATCGAGAATGACGTATAAAGGAATTTAAATGGGATCTTGAAATATGTTTGCGGGGCATTATATCGAAACTTTATTATATTTTGCGAGTTGTCTCCTATTTCTAGATAGCATGCCCCAGTTCTACGCTGTAGCCGTGACTAGTCTATAACAAGGAGTAAATCACCGGTTGCTCGTTATTTATTCCGTTTCGTTTTTAATTTCATTCCGTTTTCTCCCTTTAGATCAACATGCAATGGCCAGAATAATTCAGATTGCTCCGCACGACTAACTCCCGCCGATAGCGTCCCCTGTGGAGATGGCGTGTTGCGTCCCTAAACACGGAAAAGTCAATATGATATCAGGAGTTTTGTGTTCGGCGTGGCGAACTATAAACACGAGATATTTCTGTATCAATAACAATGTGTGGGATTTATAAATATTGGAAAACATTGGCAGTTTCCGCTTTAGGCCAAACGAAAATAAAGTTGTGTTGTAGGTAAGACCAACAAGGAACTTGTTTCTATGATCCTAGCTTTCCATTGGCCTCCGCGTATACCAACATGGGCCAAATTGGATTCAATCTTATTGAAATCATATTATTCTCCCTTTCCCCACAGCACGAAGGATATACTATCAGACGTTTGTGTCTAGTTAGATGCAGTAGAATGACGTTTTATTTCGTTTCTGTCAAGTTTTTATTGTCATGGTCCCCATCAGAACCAGCTGTCCCGTCACTGTGGTCTGTATAACGACAGTGTGATGCGATCGGGAGCTAGGACACAGGGAGGGACTGGGAGGACTTGACGTATACGTATGATAACCGATTTGACACAGGGAGGGACTGGGAGGACGTGACGTATACGTATGATAACCCAGGGAGGGAGTGGGCGGACGTGACGTATACATATGATAACCGGTTTGACACAGGGAGGGACTGGGAGGACGTGACGTATACGTATGATAACCGGTTTGACACAGGGAGGGACTGGGCGGACGTGACGTATACATATGATAACTGGTTTGACACAGGGACGGACTGGGAGGACGTGACGTATACGTATGATAACCGGTTTGACACCGGGAGGGACTGGGCGGACGTGACGTATACGTATGATAACCGGTTTAACGTATAACACATCGTCACCAATTTGTCGTTAATAAGAAAATGTCTAGTTCACAGAGTACGCCACTTCGATTAAAACGTCTCCATGTTGTTTGGAAGGGCAGTCGAATTGGGGGGAAAAAGCCGTCGGAAAGACAATACAAAAAAGGTTTATTGGTAAAATTCCCACGTACACAGTGAGATATAAAAGCGTTTGTACCGGCATACTGTGTTTCACAGCGTTTTTTTAACATATCAATCAAAATCCCTAGGTCCCAGATATCACAGATATTGGCCCCTTTGACCAGGGTAGTGGACGCGTATTAAGTTTTGGTAAGTCTGTAAGAGTTGTGTCCCTTCTACTGAAGCGCAATCTATGTAACATGCTCTATAACAAGCAGCACAATATACTTTGTCGTCTATTTATATATAATTTATTTATATTTTCTTCAATTACACGTGATTTAAACCTAGACATCTACAGATGACGTCATTAAATGGTCATTTGTAAACCTAGACATCTACAGATGACGTCATTCAATGGTCATAACTGTTATAATAGGACGTTAAGCCCGATAACACCAAATCAACCTACTGAGGTCAAGTGCATGACGATTGTTTTGTGTGAATTATCGACTAAATATGGTATAAATCTGGTTTGTGAGAGTTGAATATGGTCTCCTAAAATGCATGAATACAGCCCTCACAAACCAGATTCGTGTTATAATCAGTTAATAATTATAAAATAGACACCTACATATAAGGCCCCACACACCGTTTTTATCGCAGCTAGATGTAACGAATTCTTCAAAGGTTTTTGAGACTCGTATTGTTTGATGTGAAACACATGTCTTTAGACAAACAAACACACACACAAATAACGTCGAAGATTACGCTGGTAAAATACTTGTTTTTAAGCATTTATTTTTTTCGTATAAGTTATTCAAATGTAAAGTAAAAAATATATAAACAATTGCAAAATATCACAGATTTATAAAACAGAACAACCTAGGGACGGACTGCAGGCCACACATTTTCGACCTTTTTTCGCTCTTTGATGAAGGGGAGCATTGAACAGTGGACAAAAAATATCATATACCGATTTATGTGAAGTTCTAAGGTTGTGAAGTATGTGTTTTCCACTTTGGGCTGGTTTGTTTTAAGAATTCAAAGTAATGAAATATGATGAAGCAAAAATATAAACTTTAAAGTGCATGTGTCATTATTTCATTAAATCATTCACCCCTGGAATTTCATAGTCGACTATACCAACCTTTGAATCGGAAGAGTTCAAATGTGTCTTCATGGGTGAGTGAGTAAATCCTTCACACATACCAAGGGAAACAACTCTTTTACTTACACAAGGGCCATTGCTCTGTTTATCACACATACCAAGGGAACTAACTCTTTAACTTAAACAATGGCCATTGCTCTGTTTATCACACATACCAAGGGAACTAACTCTTTTACTTACACAAGGGCCATTGCTCTGTGTATCACGTAAAGCAAGGGGAACAACTCTTTTACTCACACAAGGGCAATCACTCTGTTTCTCATCTCTCGTACAACAAAGGGAAATAACTCACACAGCAACGAGTATAATAACCTTTTCTAACACAACAATCTTTTGCTTCAGTTTTCTTAAACTGTTCATCAATCTGATTAAAATCATATCCTACATTCTCCTAACGTGATACAGGTAGAGAACGTAGGATATGATTTTAATCAGATTGACTGTTCATTATCCTGAATGTATTGGCAAGATAATAGTTCTTTATAAAGAAGAGGCCACTTTTCGGCCTGGGGTCAGTTCTAAATTTATATAACTCCATAAAAAAGGTTTCAGATGCTACATTTTTTTTCAATGGTCTCCAAAATTTATAGTGTAGGTAAGTGTTTCTTTTACTTACTCTTTAATTATCACCTGTTTTGCTGGTATAATATCAAAGGAAAATTTTTACCGAACCAGCTGGATCAAATTTTTCTGGCATCTGAAAATCATGTTGTACAAGCTGCAATACGCACAAATAAACAGCCAATGCAAATGTCAGATTCTGAGATATATTGTAGATTGTAGGATGTCTGATATGTATTATCCCATTCTGGGACATCCCAGTCCCTCTGTTAGAAGCGTAGCTTATCTCCACATACATCCTACATCCCAATGTGCCGCGGTAAGATGACCTACGGTGTATTTGGTAGGACGTCTAATGTCTAAGCCTAAGGTACTGTTGAAATGTCTAGCTTGTCTTCAGATGCCGGATCTCTTTCTCCAGTACAGTGGTGACGCGGATGGCCTCATCCGCCTTGTCTCCCCCGATACGTCTCAAGGCAGCGAGGGCCGCCTCACGTACATTAGAAATAATATCATTCCGCCTGAAAAAATATAATCATACAGTACAAAACAACTTGTTTTGATGTCCCATCACAAACTGATAACAAAAGTCAATTAAGTGACTTTATCAGGGTAAGACTACCAACATTCCAGCTCATTAAGTACTGTATTTACCCTAATAACCCCCACCCCCATCCATTGACTGGTCAAAGTATCCCATTGCTCAAATATTGATTTATACCTTATATTAGTTCGAAAACTGACTTAATTATGGGTATATTTGTTGGATAGGTTTTGTTTTTTCTGTAATCAGTTTTCCTCTACATCGCTAATAAAGCACCAAGGGCACAGAACATTTGTATGAGACCAGATACAGCAGGTGTTACCAATTTCTGTCTTCAAGTGTTTTGTCATGGAATACTGGATATTATTTATCCCCTTTAACCCTTATTAAACATTTAAACATTCTGTATTACATAAGTTGTTTTATTGATTGTTCAAATATGTTTCATTGAAATGTTACTCTCCTTTCAAAATTATGTTAGCTGTCAGCTAAAATAGATTTTTTTCAACTAAGTAAAATATCTAAAAATGAATTGGCATAACTTTAAAAAAAATCTTATCATTATTCAGAGTACTGAATTTTGATTTTTCTGAAAATGTTTTCCTTTAAATAAAATTTTCCTTATCACCTTGAACTTTTACCTTGACACTACAGAGACGTCATAAATCTACAAGATTAATCATAATATGCATCACATTACTTTCAGAAATGGGTAACTAAAATTCCAAAAAGCAATATTTAACAAAATTTGCAAATGATACAATAAATCATCTTGCCTATTTAAGTAGTAAAATATTTTACACCTGTTGATACATCGAACACGAATCTAACAGTGTCCATGACTCAGGACCTGGAAGAACAAATTTGTTCAGGGTATTCCCAAGTTTGACCAAATCTCATCAGGAATGAAGTAGCTATAGCATTGACAAAGCGTGAACATATGAATGGAAGGCAATACACTTCCAATACCTTGTCAAGACATGATAAAAATAACTGATTTTACAAGACTGGCAAGGTCTACACTATAAACCAATCCAGTGACAAGGGGAGACAACTGCGATATGTTAAACCATATTGTAACTGACCATAAATCCACTAGCTTCTCTATAGCAACGGTTGCTTTCATGACACCAAGGGAAAGACAACTGGCCTCGCGGACGATTCTGTCTCTGGAGTGAAGGCACTGCATGACGTATTTGACTGTCTTGTCGTCATTGGCTCCCGTTCTGGCCAATGAAATGATGGCTACAGCCTGCACATTTGGATCTTTGTCGGACAACAAGTCTCGTAGAGCATCAATGACTGTTGCACTCTTGAACTTTCCTGTAAGTTAAGACATTGAAGTTTTAATACAACTAAAAAACATCCCTACTTAACTCTTTTACCATAGCACTGATATTTTAGATTTATTTTCTCTTAGTCCTCTTATTGTAGCTTTAATATCATTGACCTTGACCTTGTCATTACAAAGGGGCCGTGGTGGCCAAGTGGTTAAGGTGTCTGACATTCTGCTACCACTAACCCTCCACCACTGGGTCGGGGGTTCGTAAGTCTGAAGGACACTGTTTACATTGGCTACCCATAACCTTGTTTTATCTCAATTATTAATTACATGGAATTTTAATTACCTAAGTTTTCAATGGCCTGGACACGAACAGAGGAGTCCATTTTGAAGACTTCTCGCATGGCGTAACTCTCTCTGGCCTGGTCCTGTATTCGCATCCACAGAGGACGGACCTGGTCGTCAATCGTACAGAACTCTGCAAAGCAGGATGACATTGTATAAAACAGAAACTCTTCAAAAATCAGCTATTAAAATGTACCTGGTATCCCCACTCGGGTCAGGACACAATAAGGCAGCTGTTCACCGAGGAAGAAACGTTTGGTATCTCACTACTCCCTGTGGGGAGTGGCTTTAATACTGGTTGATCATAAAATGATGAATGGAATTTCAGCTCACACATCTTTACTTTGCATGCCTTACTTTGTATACGTGTATTTTATGTCATAACACTTGCACTTTTTCCTCTTGTGTACATAAGCACAATTTGCTGTTACTATGGAAACGCCATATTAACACTATTGGTAGTTAAAAGGTGCCGATGACAATTTTCGACTCCCTATTAGCGTTTATCTCACTTTCGCAGAAATCATTTGAAAAGCTCCCTGCTTATGATAAATAGGACCTGAATTTGAATCCCGAGTCAGCAGAGATGTTTTTGTGAAAATTATGATATTAAATATGATATACATGTATATATCTCGTTTACATATATACATGTAGTTGATTCCTTTAGTTAATGAGCCAGTACAAGTAACTCCGGATAAACAAATTCTAAATAAAGAAAAACTTAATTATTGGAGAAAACATGCAGTGGCTAGAACTAACTGCCTTAAAGGACAATTTAACATGAGTGCTTCATTTGTATATAAGTTTCTCTATCAAGGAATGTAAACAGCCCAAGGTCTACTAGTTTCTTTCTTCACATACACACACAGGCAAAAAGAAATCCTGACCTGATTTTCACCTGAACTTAAGTCATTTCACATGAAAAACTTTTCAGATCAGTTTCATGTCAATTACCTGAAAAAATATGATTTGATTTCAGGCGAAATTTTGCCTGTGTAGGTAACAGTTATTAATCCAATACAATACCATACATTAAGTACTACATAAAAGGATACAATATAACTGAATGTGTTAAAATAAATAACAACACTACAATAGAGGATATCCTCTCACACTAGGCTATCCTCTAACACTCCGATATCCTCTAACACTCCGATATCCTCTTACACTCCGATATCCTCTTACACTCAGATATCCTCTTACACTCAGATATCCTCTTACACTCCGATATCCTCTAACACTCCAATATCCTCTTACACTCAGATATCCTCTCACACTCCGATATCCTCTAACACTCCGATATCCTCTCACACTCCGATATCCTCTTACACTCCGATATCCTCTCACACTCCGATATCCTCTCACACTCCGATATCTTCTCACACTCCGATATCCTCTCACACTCCGATATTCTCTAACACTAGGCTATCCTCTTACACTCCGATATCCTTTAACACTAGGCTATCCTCTCACACTCCGATATCCTCTAACACTCCGATATCCTCTCACACTCCGATATCCTCTCACACTAGGCTATCCTCTTACACTCCGATATCCTCTCACACTAGGCTATCCTCTTACACTCCAATATCCTCTCACACTAGGCTATCCTCTTACACTCCGATATCCTCTTACACTCCGATATCCTCTCACACTAGGCTATCCTCTTACACTCCGATATCCTCTAACACTCCGATATCCTCTCACACTAGGCTATCCTCTAACACTCCGATATCCTCTCACACTCCGATATCCTCTCACACTAGGCTATCCTCTAACACTCCGATATCCTCTCACACTAGGCTATCCTCTTACACTCCAATATCCTCTCACACTAGGCTATCCTCTTACACTCCGATATCCTCTTACACTCCGATATCCTCTCACACTAGGCTATCCTCTTACACTCCGATATCCTCTAACACTCCGATATCCTCTCACACTAGGCTATCCTCTAACACTCCGATATCCTCTCACACTCCGATATCCTCTCACACTAGGCTATCCTCTAACACTCCGATATCCTCTCACAGTCAGACATCCCCTCACTCTTGGACACCTTCTAATGCTTAGACATCCTCTTATGCTTCGATATACTCTCAGACTCTAATATCCTCTCACTAATATCCTTTTTCACTAGACAGAATCATTAGGCAGAGTTAAGCAGGGTGGCGGAGGCCAAGTCCGGGTTTTGGAAGATACATGTATATTTCAGAGTTAATAAAGAATAAAGGAAAATAATTGCATACCCTCGTAAGCATTATCCTTTATCTAACTGATGGCATTTCTACATGTACTCCTATGTCAACTAAAACCCATTAGATACTTAACTGATCCTTGACTAACGTCAACCACCAGATGGGGTCATGTGATTATATAATAAGCTAAACAAACCTGTGTAGTTGTCCTTGTTGACCATCTCCTCTGTGCTGATGTCCAGTTCTCTATGAAGTATCGCTAATAACCACTCAGTGTCATCTTCTCCAAACGTCTTATCAAAGTCCTCCTTAAAGTCGGTCAGTATTTGACCTCTAAACCTAAAACAAGGACAATTCCATTTAACCTTGACACAGAGAGAGAAGAGGTCAATGACCTTGACACAGAGAGACAAGAGGTCAATGACCTTGACATTCAGATTGATAAGAAGTCAATAAAACAACACAGTGACGTTTTAACTTGTGGTGAATTGATTGACAAGATTCCTTGATAAGTGATGACTTGATTTAATGGTGATTGGATTAATGAGGTCTTAGGTGACCACTGGACTTCATACAATTGTCCATTATTAAGGTATTCCATGTATAATGAAATTGGCCAACATCGGGAAACTTCGTAATCTGGGAATTCCCCCTAATGGTGACTTCATATTTGGTATGAGTTTTTGCCGTTGGGGAAACCCTGCTTGTTAACAAATGGCAACTGTTCTTTATTTAAAAATATGTATTACCAGGTATACATGGATTTCCTTAATTCAACCAATCAGAAACTTTGCATTTTATTGAAGAACTGGGCTTTCTGCTGATCAGTTTATGCTGTTTATTGAAGAACTGGGCTTTCTGCTGATCAGTTAATGCTGTTTAACCATCAACACTTGCCTTTCCCACGCAACATTGACAGATTTTCCAAATGATCTTGCCCAGTAAGCTATACCATCCTCCAGAAACAGTTTGGACTCTTTTTCACTGAATTTCCGAGAAATAGATCGGTTTAGCATTCTCCTTGATTTTACATTTGTCTCTGGCTTTGCTGTGTTTCCTATAAAAAACAAACCAGAATATTAACAGAACAGTGAATCTTATAGATCTACCAACTTGTTAATTTCTCTTGCTTTCATTGTATGAGTTAAAATCACATGAAACATATGTGGATTTTTTTTTCTCATTTGTTGTGCTCAAAAATATTTGTACACATGCAAGTAATTAACATTGCATTGTACTATAATTAAGCAATACAACACAAAGTTATCATATCTTGAAAAGCCTATTTGAAGCTTGTTATCTTACACACAAAAAAATATTTGTGTTTCCACCATTATCCTTCACAAAATATAGGGTAGGTACTATATTTAGGTAGGTAATTTTTTTATTTTTGAATTTATTTTTACTAGGCTTATTTGGAGCAGCAGTTCTTACCAAAGCAGTGAATATCACTAAATGCCAATTAAAGAATGAGAGTAGTCAAACAATCTAGGCCAGGTAGGGTTAGCAGAAACACAAGGGCCGTTTTATTTGGTCCTACCTTTATTCTCCTTCTCTTTGATTTCCTCCAGCAGTTTGAACACTTTGTTGGTTATGTCCTTCAAGTTGTCAGCAAGGCTTTCTGTTGACAAGGTGAACCATTCAAAGCCAGCTAGTTCAAGACGCCTGGAAACACAACACATGTTTCAATAAATTAATGTAACTGGTTTAGAATGTTTTCACGAGAGTTATCTCCCTTGAAACACTCCAAACCAGTGAGTACCACGCACCTTCTACATTCCAAGATAACACAGTTTAACTTATAGAGTGATGGTTACCTATAACTAACAGATTGTAATTTGGTATTGCAGATGTTACACTGTTTGTAGTAATTGATTAATAGGATTCATAAAAAACCCAAGGAGAAGTGGTTAGTTTCCACTAGGAGTGAAGGTTGTTTTTTCTATATTGATAGTGTTGAATTGTCCAGAAATTACAATTTTAAAGTAAAAGTACACAATGGGGGGTTGGTAGAGTGAAAGGGTTCAGAATGACAGTCAAGAGGTTCAGGTGGAAGGTTGTGGGCACAGTTGGTGCAATGGTGTGTTTGTTAGTTGGGTTTGTAATTTTGTTTGAAGGGAGCTCGAGAGGTATGGAAATGAGGAGAGGACCTTTGACGTCAGTGGAATGTTGATGGACAGGGCTATGGGAGTCTTGAACCCTGACTCAGGAGAGGGGAACATTACTACCAATACTTACATTCCGTTATCCATCAGGTTGAGGAGTTCTTGGTTTGGCAGCAGTGCCACAGGAAGGATAGACTTATTGGACACATAGGCTAAAGCCAACTGGTCCTGACAAATCTTAGACTGGACAGATTCCCTACTCATCACAAACATGAAAATCTGTAAACAAACAAGCGATGAGGGTCACTGTGTTGTCAGGCTTACAACAAGTGTTGTCTGGGTTACAACTAGTGTTGTCTGGCTTACAACTAGTGTTGTCAGGGTTATAACTAGTGTTGTCTGGCTTACAACTAGTGTTGTCAGGGTTACAACTAGTGTTGTCAGGGTTATAACTAGTGTCATCTGAGTTATAACTAGTGTTGTCAGGGTTACAACTAGTGTTGTCTGGGTTACAACTAGTGTTATCCGGGTTACAACTAGTGTTGTCAGGGTTATAACTAGTGTTGTCAGGGTTATAACTAGTGTTGACAGGGTTACAACTAGTGTTGTCTGTGTTACAACTAGTGTTGTCTGTGTTATAACTAGTGTTGTCAGGGTTACAACTAGTGTTGTCAGGGTTACAACTAGTCTTGTTTGAGTTACAACTAATGATGTCAGGGTTGCAACTTATGTTTTCTGTTACAACTCCTGATATCAATGTTATACAACTAATGTTGTCAGGGTTACAACTAGTGTTGTTTGGCTTACAACAAGTGTTGTTTGGCTTACAACTAGTGTTGTCAGGGTTACAACTAGTGCTGTCAGGGTTACAATTACAAGTTTTGTTTTCTGTTACAACTAGTGTTATCTGGGTTACTTTTCATGTTGTCAGGGTTACTACTTTAGTGACATCAGAATTTTAACTGTGTTGCCATGGATACAACTACTGTAGTCAGGGTTATGGCCAGTGTTGTCAGGGATAAAACTAGTGTTGTCAAGGTTACAACTAGTGATCTAAATGTTATAACTGTGTTTTCAGGAATACTAATTAGTATATTAAGAGTTGTCCGAGTTTCTGCTGGTGTAGTTGTCATGGTCATCATATTAATTACCAGACCAGAGAAAACTCACACTGCTGTCCACGACAGCCTGTCCTATCCTGGCAAAGATGTCAGCTCCACTCATTATGTCTTCAGTCTCCAGCCACGCCCGGATTCCCTCCCCAACCATCTTTTCTGTAAACGTACAAAATTGGAACCACAATGATTTACAAATACATGTATGTATTAGTATCAATACTTTATGTTTCTATATATTAAATCTTCTTCATCCTGTGTATTGCTTTTTTTTATTCTTGTAAAAGGTTTTTTATTCGTTGCAATGTTCAGGTGGGAATATTTGAACTGTGACAAAAAAAATTGACACCACGAGCAAAATGGAATAGTGATTTGTGACTAAATGGACGGTTGTGGGTAATTGATTAAGTTAAAACTCATTCCTAGATATATGTAATGTTTTATGTGTCATAACGTTATTTGCTTTTCATCACTCCTGAAAACTTAGAAACATCAGGCTGTGTCGAATAATCCGTGTTTTAGTATATTGACTCTGGCCTCACACCAGATAATACTTCTACTGTATGTCACAAAATGTCAAAAGTCTGGTGTTGGGGCCAGAGGGAAATCGAAAGGACGAGGCCCAACACAACATTGGACAAGCAAACCATCCTCGAGATTCCAGGAGTTCTACCAAACTTCTCTGCACCCCTGGACCAGTGAAATATGTCATGATGAAAGCATGGGCTCTGTATGTGCCACGTTGTGGATGTTACAAGAAGACAAGTTGATCCCTTGATGTACATCAAAAGAATTGTGTGGAAACATAACAGTAAAATTCACCAGAACTGAAGTCAGGTGTTGGCGATTTTTAATTTTTCTCCTTTTTTTCACCTGAAACCAATCCAAAAGCTTACTCAAGGTGCATACAATTTTGTCATAAAATATTCAAGAGGGTGGTGCGGAGAATGTAAGTTATTTTTTATTATTGTATTATAACCCCTGAATTTGGAGGATGGCAGCAAACAAGAAAATAAAGTTCAAAATGTATATTAGCAATGTCCTCAAACATACCACGCAGTTTTTTGGTGATGTCCTCATCAGCCTGGTCGTAAGATATCATCACATCCTTGATCGTTCCAACTGTGGTCAGCGCCAGTTTGGCCTGCACACGTGGAGTGGTCAGTTTACTCATATTGACCAATACCTATAAATATTTTGGAAGTAAGATGTAAATGGTCACCTGTATATGTTGTAGACTAATTATAATTAATAATTACAAAATGTATAAGGATATAGGAACAGATTGCCTCAGTATAGTGTAACATGCGGGTGGTCACCCATCCAACTACTGACCATTCTCGAGGTTGCTGAACAAGTGAGCAGGTCCCCGGAGTTATACTGCATCACTGGAAAAGCTAGCTTGCCAGTAATGCAGTATTTTCCCCTCAAATTCCTTAGCTGTTACAATTAATAGGGACATCTGGTTGGGTTTTGACTTCAATAATAAACATTAAAGAAGATTTAATGTAGATGTAGATCTTCAAAATGCATTTAAAAAATATTATGGTGTCTAATATAAGATACGTTGTTACTGGTGTCTAATATAAGATACGTTGTTACTGGTGTCTAATATAAGATACGTTGTTACTGGTGTCTAATATAATTCAGGAGAAAAGTTACTGTGGTATTCTGCATGTTTGTCAATTCTAATTTTTGATTAAAGAATCATAATTTTCAAAATATTTATGTACACAAATAATGAGAATAGGTTTTCTTGGTCTTCCGCTTATTTAGGTTGACAGTTTTCTGTCATAACAAATTGTATCTTAAAAAGCAGGACAGTTTCCCTAATGTTAAAGGGACGATATCATAAATAATAATAATATAATCTAAATTTTCCAGATAGTACAACAGACATAGAGAAATAAGAAAGCGAGAAGGGTCTTGTCGTCACCATAGATAACAAATTGAGATTTTCAGACCATGTCAATATAACAGTTACAAAGGCAAACAGAATCCTGGGTACTATCTTCCGTACTTTCAAATATATGGACGCATATATATGTACAAATCTCTCGTCAGACACATTTTAGAGTACGGAACACCTATATGGTACCCAAACTTTATCAAAGACAAAATCTCCATCGAAAACGTGCAAAGAAGGGCTACAAAACGGCTCAAGAATATATCAAATCTACCATATGATGAAAGGCTGCGAAAACTGGGACTGCCTACTCTCGAATATAGAAGGGAAAGAGCCGACCTAGTCGAAATCTATAAGATCCTAAATAACATCGACCATGTAGACCACGAACACATGTTTAAACCAGCATAAAATGTGGGGACCAGGGGGCATCCAAAAAAGCTGTTCAAGAAACCGTTTCGCCTTGAAGTAAACAAAAATGTCTTCAGCAACAGAACAGAACAATTACAACATTGAACATTCTACCGGAAGTGATTGCTACAGCAATAAACCTTAACAGCTTTAAAACATTACTGAACAACCATAACATTACCAACAGGTCCAAATTCCGGGCCTCCTTTTACAATTAGTACCATGTACATCACATGTGTTTTTAAATATACGACTTTTACGGGTCATTTGAGACCAAATCAACAAGCGAGAACTTTAAACGGTACGTGTGTAAATATACATGGGTTTCATATAGAGAGAGAACTGTTTTTGTCAAGTATAATGTGTGAGCAACATGAACTATATACCGCCACATCTCTTGTAAACAACCGGTTGGACATTATAAATAATCAATGAAATATTATCAAGACATCTCCAAAAGCTAAAAAGCTTACAATAATGTAGATTACAGCGAAAGATATGGGATTACACGTAGGTGTACATAGACAGACAAGGACCCCCTCTCCTCTCTTGTAACTAAAAAAACTATCTGCGTAAAACGAAAGCAGGTGCTTGGTCAGTGGTGATACGTATTCGGAAATGTGACTCATGCTCCCATGAACGTCGCTATGTGGAAAAATGTGTTTCTAGTTTGATTACATTCTTGCAAATGGTTTTACGACGTGACAAAACAAATACTTACACGAATTGCTCAATTCTCGAAGTACGAACAGGAAGTTTACATATGTTGTCAGTCAATGACCTCCACCTTCATTGTTAAAGCGAGGCTAACCCTTACTGTGAGGCAAATAATGAAATAATGTCCGCATTTCATCATGTCAGTCACGATGGCCGAGTGGTTAAGGCGTTGGACTTGAAATCCAATGGGATCTTCCCGCGCAGGTTCGAACCCTGCTCGTGACGTTCATTTTTGTTTACTTTTTTTTTTGTAATTTGAATACGTTCATACCGATTTTTTTTTTATATCAAATTTTTCACTAAAACAATAATTAGGTGTACAGCAAATATAGCAAATACTTCAAATAGGAAAAAGGTGAATTGAAAACTAACTGTTATATCTCTAAACAAGGAATTTCATTCCGTGCTCTAAAATAATACTCGATCAAAGCACGGACGTACATAATTGTAGATAATCTAATCTAGTTTCGTCAGCCAGAGATCTAGACGTATATCGACTTTATACGCAGACAGTACGCCCAAAGTTCTAGTAGATGTATAGACATACAACAGGTATTTGATAATATGGTCAGCCTACTGTACACTCTATCTATCTGATCCACAGGGACATGAGAATGTGTTACATCTATATTTGGACCTAAACTAAGGTGTTCAGAGTAATTTTACATGTTGTAGGGGTTTAGATATACTCGTATATATGATCATTGGGGGTGTCATTTTTACCGAAAGTCTATTTGAACCCCTAAAACATGTAAAATATTCTTATTCTGGGGTCTATCGTAGCCAGAGACGTGCATTTTACTTTTTCAATATAAATATAGGTTTATTTGATAGCGATTCGTGTTCAGTTAATAATGATTCGTATTGATCGGAGTGAATTCAGCAGATAGGCTTATATTTAAGTGGAATGACAAGCAAGAGTTATTTCCCTTCTACCAAACAGTTGGAGAACAGTTGGAGAAAGAGTAAGTTGGCCTTTTTAGCACACACGTACATTTTTAAGGGATTGCTGTTTTTAATTTCTGTGTTTTATCGTACATTGTTATATATAGTACCACATTATCATAAAAAATAATGCTATGTGTTTCATTAATTACAAAATGCTATTTAACCGCTCTTCAAGATGTACTACCACCGACTTGGATAACCTAATCTAATTCCGTGGTACTACGTACGGTATGTGTATGTATGTTTCTGGACACGTCACTCGAGCCCGCTGGAATCCAGTGGCGTGTACTATTGAAATCTAGACTGTGTATACGATGGCACGAGGCTGGTAATTGTTTGAATGTTGCACAAACTATCACAATACACTTAAATGGTTATTTTAATTTACTAATGAAGAAACACGAGAAACTAACGTTGAGATAGAAGTACATACAAACTTGAGATATCTTTGAAACGACGGTCGTTTTGGGGGTAGCATCTTTCCGTTCGGGCACCTGCTCCACAAATATGAAATTGACACACCACAAAGCTGTATCAGATCACGTGACATCCATTTGAAGTTGAAATATACACGGGTAATATATCATATATAGACCACCCTGATGATATCAGCCCCGTTACGAACATTCTGTTTATATTTCAAATGTTGATAACAAACTTTTTAAAACTAAGCGATATGAAATAGTTATGATTTTAAAAAATAGAAATCATATTTATTTGATTGATAATATTTAGGATTGAAATGCATCTATTAAACATCTGTGATGGTATGCAACATAGTTCTATATACATGTAGCACATTTATGGAAGATATATTTAAACGGAACTATATGTTATGTACCATCATAAAGTTTAAAAAAGACGCGTTTCATTCTATTGATTAAGTTTCTTTTTTATTTACGTCCTATTGACAGCTATGGTCATTTAGTTAAGGACGAGCAGGTTGTGGTGGCGGAGGAAAACCGGAGTACCGGGAGAAACCAGTACCTGGCGACTTCTCCACTTAAGCCTCTTTCTCGCGACCCAGTGATGGAGGGCTAATGATCGTAGACGATTACAGGCGGTTAGACGCCTTAACCACTCGGCCATCGCGGCCCCTCATTTCAACCTTTAAACGTTCAAAACAACAAAGAATAATTGATCTATCATCTTGTATGGTTTCTTTAGGTTCAAGATGCATTTTGAATGTACTGTTTTACCAAGTGGCGGAACAGGCAATTTGCGGGAAGAACATTATATCAGGCGATTAAAGTCCCGCCATTGTTTGAATTTGGCGCCATAATGGCTCCCGATCACTCCAACAATATGACGGAAAGACGCAAACAGTTTCCGAGTGGAACACTGTCACGTGTAATACATGTATAACTCTTGATTCTAAATGTTGGAAATTGAATAACTAAGGCCGAAGCGATTATATTTTTTCCTGCGTTTTCTGATCCTCGTTATAAATGACACATTAATACGGGTATTTCTTGGACCTTTCTCCGACGAATGCCACTAAACAGGAATTTATAAGGCTATAGTCCTGACGAAGAATCCCTGTACATAGGGAGAGTGGGTTGAATTCCTACTACAGTGTACAAATACATGACATTAATATAATATGAATTCATACCACACTTATAAGTTTGTATAACAGATAATATCAATAAAATGCCAAAACAAAATAAGATGAAACCAGACATTTCAGATTCAGATTCTTTATTAGCCGAGAGCCGTACGACTCATAGGTGCAACAGTAATACAAGTACATATAGCATACAAGTATACACGTCTGAAACACACAAACACACACACACACACACACACACACACACACCCTCACACACCCATACACCACCAAACCACACGCACACAGCCACACACACATCTACATACATAATCAGGAGAGTGATAACGAAATACTTGAACACATTATAGTACAATTGTACATGCATACATAATCAATAATACTTAAATACTAAATGACTAAATACTAAAGACTATACTTAAATACTAAATTACTAAATACTAAAGACTGTAATTAAATACTAAATACTGGAACACATTAAAGGTTTTCACGTTTCCTCGTAGCATAACATAGATACTTCCCAGTGTTAAAAACATATCTCTTTGATATTATTTACACTCAAAAGTTTTTATTAATTTGAACACATTTGGATTTCTGTAGTAAAATTATTTTATATATCTTTCCCTTGGTTCTTTATAGAACGAACAGTTCAATATGAAATGAAACTCATCCTCTACATCACCGTCATTACATCTGTTACACAATCTATTTTCTCTAATAATATTTCTACGACGTCCAGTTTCTAATTTAAGATTATGCGTAGATAATCTGAACCTCGTAATCATACGTTTATATTTTTCTTCAACAGGCTCACATTTATAATATTGTATACTAAAATTATCAGTAAGACGTTGGTACAAAAATCCTTAAGATGAGTGTTTAATTCTACTAAGCATATTTTGTTTATTTACGTCTAATAATCTTTGTTTTATTACATTATATGCAGCAGATACAGGTAAATCATTCCCAAACAAATACTCAAGGCCTAGAACCGTCAATATATGCTTTACGAAGGTTATGTTTTACAAATTTGAAAATCTGGCAGTTAAACTACAATAGTCCATCCCATAGTTGAGTATGAAGGTTAATTAGAAGTCTACAATGTATATGAGAGATAGCTCTCTCACATATATCACATATTTATTGTGTAAGATGTCTTCACAAGTATACAAACTTACAATATACATAATACATGAACAGTGTCTGTACTAACAAGATCCCGCTATCAATAATGAGGGTTTTATGAGTGCTGGTGTGACGTGCCAATTTCCAACGCTACATAATTAGCTACTGAATTAATATACAAATGTAGCATATAATTGTCCCCGCATCCGCCATTTGTTTATTGTAATTCATGGAAATCAACATGGCTGAAATCCAAACTGTTTATTTTTAAAGACCAGGCTATAATAATCGAACGATTTTTTCATCAGGGAGAACAATTAGCCAAGAACACAACAGTGCAGGGTAGAGACTGGATGTCTGGGTATCAAACGAACTTCTCCGTGAGGAAGGTATACACTGATTTCTACGTACGTGTCTGGTTAATTAAGCGCACCAATAGTCCTTGCTGCTGTGACCGAAAATCATTAACTTTATTGTTTGTGTAAGTGAGGGACGATGCTATAATTAACCTGCATATTTTACTTCCGGTCACACACGCACGCGTTCACATCTCGCCCATGTATAACATCTTCCCCATTGATTAGGTGTTTATGCCAATTATTTATTTTTATTACACTTATAATAACTTACTAATAACTGAGGTGTCACTGTATTTGGATGATTGAACGCAAAGTGAATACATTTTTTTATGTTAGCGAGAACGAACCTATTATATACCTACGCAGACATGCGCATTGTAATGGCGATTTAGATATATACGTATAATTAAGTTAGTTCTCTGATTCTGCAAAGGGCGAAGAGGGGAAAGTGCATGAACAAATCAAAAGTTATTAAAGATTAATAGGAAAAGAAAAAAGACCCACTTCTATAACCATTTTAAAGATAGTGCCGTTTACAACACTTTCTTATTGAAAAATCTTTGTTTTTATCACATACCTGTTAATCTTGTTAAAGTAATACAAGCAATTCTCAGATCATGAAATACAACATTCTGTATTGCACATGTGCAATACGGAATGTTGTATTTACCTACTAGCCGGAACTACTTTTTATGTGAATCCCCTTGTCATGGCAAACTGAAAAGTTCCCGGTATTTGCAAAAATTATCAAAGTTTATAAACTCTTTGTATCGATCTCTACCAAATACGGAAGGTATGTGATAAAAGCAAGACCACACAGGTGTGTTTTTCTAACGAATCAGAAAGCACTCATTTATTGCGCGGACGTATATAT